TTATTACGTATTATCCTAGTATAAATTCTATGAAATTTTAAGAAATACTAAGTTTCTTACAAATATGTCTCCTTGTTGTAGTGTATCAACTTGTAGATAAGCCAAACGTTGAACATCTTGTGGGCCTGCAGGCTCCCGACAGTTTCCTTTACGCTTTGGTCCTCCACTTGCTACCGAAGTATCCGTCCGCGACCGTTGTGTCATAAATAATCCACTGCTTCTAAAATATTTAGGCTTATGAAGTGTTGGGCTAACTTCCGGTTCTATAATAGCTAATACAGGCAGGTCAAGGGGTGCTCTAGTGCTGTCGGTTCTCTTTATTCTAGGCTTAAGTCTATGGTTTTGCTGTTAAAAATGTAGAAATGAAAAAAAGTCGACAGTTCTCATTATCCGTACACATCGAGTCTATTTAAGTAAATTGTTAAAAGTGCTCTTTAACATTTCTATGATAATTTTTTGTATGTGGTAAGCCATTAAATTTGTATTATTCGTTGGGGTAATCTTTATGATTTATCAAAAATATATATAAAATTATTTACCGGTAACTCTGATATATCTTCATCTATTTCTGATCCATGTGCTTCAATTGGTTCTGAATAAATTAAATGAAACAATAATATTAATATCAGAATAATAATATTGATAAAAAATCTTTGCTGGCACTTTAGTGGAATAAATCTGTTTCGTGCATCATGATTTTCTGTATGAAATCGCTCTAAATGATACTGTCTTGTGTACTGCTACATTTACACTATACACGATAACGACACGACAAAGACACGATAAAAATGCGCTCAGTGTTGAAGAATATACACGACGCAACGATATGTCGTCGTGCTTCGTGCCTCTTTACGGCGGCTGATGTAATCACGGACCACGCCTTACCCAATTCTCCCATTTACCTTATATCGGTTTTCAAACACTTATCATCATTCTTAGACCTATTATCCTAGGCCTATTAAATTATGAATGATATTTATAGAGAATTTGATTTCAAAGTGTTACCATTTGGTAAAGTGACGACGTCATCTAAACCTGTTTTCCATCGATTTGATGTGCAATTTTTTGTGGTATTTTGTTTCTGAGGAGACATAATAGTATACAGTATTTAGGCCCATGCATACACGACACCAATTTTAATCATAAAAAGCTCATCAGTTGAAATATAGGTATGATATTCCAGTATAAAAATGTAGTTATTTATGTGTATATAATACATAGACCTATGTTGTATTGTAAACATACGGTAATGTTTGCAATAAATTTAAAAAATTAGAACCAATTATATTGTTTACTTACGTTAAGATCTAATGTGTTTATATGTTGGTTCAGGCATCTACCATCAGTCATATCTACACTCCCGATCTGAAGACCGAACGTAATATTATATGATTAGCTCCATAATCTGCATGCGAATGCAGTTTACATGTATTCCGTGAACCGAAAATTATCAAGTTGCAATGAAAGGTACAGGAAAGTATTAACACAACTTGTTTTGTTGTGCTTAAGTCACATGGCGTATCTAAACTCCACTCAGTTACGGTGAAATTTTTTTTTTAATTATCAGAAATGTCAGTGGGGCTCACTTAACTCAATCCCGGGGGTGAAGTGGTGGTTAGTCTCCAATTCTTACCTGAGGCAAAGCGAAGTTTGTTTGACCGTTATTAACCATTCGCTTCCAGCTTGTGCCCAACATGGCTAGAAAAAGAAAGGAAAAGTCGATGCATTTTCCACGATCATAAATCTATTGATTAAACTTTCCAGAAGTTAAAGTACCTGGTCACCAGGTTTTGCATTTTGTCTTCTAAATGCCTATAAACGCTTGTAAACGAATGTGTGATGTCTATTTTGTACTTGACGGAGGGGTCAAGAACGCGACAAGGCGCGCGCGAATGATCATTTTCAATGAAGATCAGCTCAGACCGCCACTAAAATAAGCAATCGGCGTCGAATTGTCAAGCTCTAAACTTGGTTTCCATAATATCGCTACAGTGTTGTTACTGCAATCGTTAAACTGTGTATTTGTCTCCGACGTAATCGAAAGTGAAAGGCTCGGCTGCTCGACTGACTCAATCAGCGTTTTCGTGTAGCGATTTTATGGAATCAAGATTCACAGAGCGGAGTTGTTCGACTCGGCGTCTACAGACGCAATGTGGGCTAGGATTAATACATGAAATAAAACAAAGTCCTACCATCAGCATGGGACGAGGCTTTAACGTAGCCCCGTTTATCGATTCCATGTCTACCACTCCATCGTCTATCTTTGGAAATGTCTGTCACCCATTGTTTCCTAATACATCTACAAGAACCCTGTAAAAAGGAGTCAAAATGATGGTCAGTGAATCAATAAATAATCAATAGCATAATTATTTTAATATTTTTGAATTAAAAAATTGGCCTACTCTAGGTATATAATGATTATTTTATCTCGAAATACAATAAGCGCTGCCACA